CACTATCATGCTCCTTGACTTGCCACTTCTTGGTTACTCGAGTCTGCTTGCTACGTGCACCATAAGCTGACTGCTCGAACTCCATCTTCTGCTTCGAATCCTGATATCTTCCTGCTCGTTGGCGCTGCCACCTTCGATGCTGAGTCCGAGTCATGCCACTGTTTGCTGATACCAGAGTTGGAAATCTGGGATGCTCTACTCTATGCCACAAGTTATCGGAAACCTGACTGGGCCTTACCATCCGAGCCGCTGCACTGTTCATGGGCGGCACAAATTCTTGGGCAGATCTCCCAAGGTTAACTCCCTGACTACAATCTGTCTGTGACAACCTATCTTTAACTGTCCTTGGATCGAATCTTTCCTTCTCAAATCCTTGGGACGTACGTGGGCCAAAACGCTCATGAACCGGTTGTCTTGACCCTAATCTGTCAGCATATTGATCAACATCTTTACTGGTCAGCTTCGGATCCTCCACATGCCTATTTTGAAGAACCTGTGTTAATAACATTGCTATTTTTTGTTGGTAACTTTCTGGTAACTCCTGCACTTGTGGTTTCCTGACCCAAGTCTGTAGTTGCTCGTCAATTTCAATAGTTACTTCTTCTTCCGCCTGCTAAGAGAGTATTTTGCGTTGGTGCAAATGTCCACCATTCACACTTCCTAGGCGGCAAATTTGCTCTTTCATTGAGTCAACCACTAGATTGCAATCCTGACAACCAACACTTATCTTCTGTCTAACATAAACTACTGCCTGCGAATCCATATTTATCATTCCTACTACATGGTTTAAACGGTTCTATCATTACTGCCACCGGTTCTTCCAATTGGATGTCCCCACTGTCAATCATCTTTTGTATGACGTTCCGAAAACCACACAATCGTTGGTCCCATGGGTCATGGACATGTGGTATTTGCAATAGGTCTTTCCTTCAATATCGGCAGGTTTCTGCTGTTTTCGCCCCTTCTGATAAGTCACATGGCCAATATTCAACATGTCTTCAAAGATTGCTTGGGTGATATCAAATGAATAGGTCCGTCCCGGATGATTAGGATGAGCACGCGGCTTTGCACCGATAGTTGTTCCCGGCCCTGGTGGTATACCATATGCTTGTGGAATACTAGGTTTACTCAACGCGCTACGCTTATATTCTTTCATGTTTACTATTTCAGCCACATTAATGTCTTCAAACTAAGCCAAAGTACTGAGCCTGATTCACTGACGGCTGGTTAGGAGGATTAAACCACTGTCTACCACGACCCTTACACTCTCAGCCCCCTCTGCAATGACCTTGTCTAATTGGCAAATCGCTTCAGCCAGCTCACCCAAGTTCGGGAAAGTTCTTCCTGTTAATCCAAACTTCAATCGGAAATTGGTTAAACCAGCTATGGCCATAGTAATGATGGTTTGTTCTGGGTACTCTCCTGGTATCGTGGTTCTCATCTGTCTAAACCTTAATACATATTGCTCACCGCCCTAAATCCTAAACCCTAAACCATTTTCCCCACCGCCCTAATATTCAAGTAGCAGCTTTGCCAACCTTTCTTGATCATTTTAATATATTAATTTAGTCTATGTGAGCCACACTTTTATCTAGTTAATTTGTACACCTTTTAAATTAATTAAAAGTTTAGTTGGGTCAGCTTGGTTTTTAAGCTAATGGTACGAAGAAGTCAATGAACTCTATACTAGTATAAACTCTCATCACTGCCTCAGTTATTTTAATCAAAAAGCTTAAGATCAAAGCTTAAGACCACCGCCTCCTTTTAAGCTGCTCTAGCCTGGATCGGGTTTAAATATAAAGCCAAAATGATTAACATGAATCCATTTCCCCTTCCTTTTTCCTTAAACCCCCTATGCTGAAGTAACTATCGTAGCACCATTAGGCTTTCTAGGCTATTGCTCCTGAACCTTTTATCATTCTGGATAAAAGATAATCAAGGAGCATTTTCTGATGAGGAAACTTGAGAGAAAGAGATAACGGATAAATATTGAGAGACGGAGGGGGAAGAACTTGAATGAAGGAGCAGCTCGGTGGTAGTCGTTGTTTTCTACTTTGATGCAAATGGGTATGAGTTGCTTTCTTCTATCATTAGTGTTTAACTCTGCGTGGATATTTTCTTTCTTGTGTTTCCGGACATAGATCTGAATTGGGGTAGTGGAACTATAATAGATTTAAAGGAACCATAATGCTTTTGGATGATACCGATTATCAACCGTTGCCTTTAGGTAATCCGGGGAGGGAGTGGTATGTATATATTGAGGAATAAACATTGAAATCATTCGATTATTGGATACCGACGACGGCTAGCAAAAGAGAAATGGGTACTTAACATTATGATGAGCAAGCTAAAGGTTGATTCGGTTCCGCGGCCGAATGAGGCAATCAACAGTTTGGACGCTAATAACTTGGGATCATTATACTTGGAGTTTGGAGTCTAAAACTTAATCCCGATACCAAAATGGTTGTAGCATTACCAATTGCTCATCCGATAGTTCTAATTAATTACCTGTCCACAAAGAGAAAACAAAATTAGAGGAAAGGGAAAGATACGAAGTAATCAATTACTTTGACCATATAGCTCCACTGGCTAAAAATTAATAGATTAATTAAGTATATATGACTAGTACGGTTAGAGTAGACTCCCAGGAACTAAACCCATAAATGTGTAGTTAAAATGGAGCACATTTCTTGTGAAAATAAGAATGGTAATCAATTCAGGAAGAGAAACAGTAATAGCAATGATTATAGTAGTAGTAGTAGTAATCGTGGTGGTGGTAAATAGTTTTAGTAAGAGTTGATCAATAAGATATATACCTATATCACACAAAAAAACTCATCTTTATCATATACGACAGATGGTCCCTATTAGTCCACTTAATATGCTTACCCTGATACACCAAAATCACATAATTAATCCTCTGATAATGGTATTGTTTATGGCCGTATAAGTAATGAAAGACTTCCAGCCACCTTTAACAGCCTATGTGGTAAGTAGAAGAGCAAAAATATCTTAAGTAATTACTTAACGTCAAGAATAATGTATTCAATTAATTATTAACTTTAGCTAGTGATTAGGTACAAATGCCGGTGCAGTGGCTGGATTAATAATTACAACTTCTGCAGATCAAGTGTGTGAGGACACTGAGGAGACTGGTAATGCCGGTGAGTAATCCTCACTCTTTTAAAAAACTGGGAGTATGTGAATAGATATATTTGAAATTCACTGAACCCGTGATCACATTTTAAATATTATTAAAATATTAAGTGCATATCGTTAAATGACCCGGAGGTGTACTTTAACGCCCTGGGGTATGTGTTCTATGTGGATTCTGAGTGTTATCGTATCTGAGACAAAATGATATCGTTATGTGATCGAACGTATTTGATTGAGTATGATCGTTGAATGTGTTGCTTCTGGTGGTGTGCTTTATCACTCCAGGACAACTATTGTTGTTATCGATTGAATGTTGTGAAATAACGTGTGATTGTTGCTTCGGTGGACTCTGTTCACTTGGAGCCTGGGCCCTGCCTTTGTTAGGCGAAGCCTAGCGAGCCGGCATCGGGCTTGGTCGCCGGGTTAGCTTACCTAGGCTTATCGTGTTGTCCAGATGGACGCGGAACTCATGAGTATCCAATGGTGGCCACGAGGTGTTGGAGAGGAATTGTTATTGAATCATTATCGTATTGTTGAATCCTTATCGTGTTGTCCAGATGGACGCTGTCGTATTGTTGAAATCTGGCTTGGAGTCCGTCTATACGTCACGTGGGCTCTTTGGCATTCCATGCTAAGGTTTCTCTGTATGCACCCCATTGTTAACTGTTTAATATGAAATAGTTGATTGATGATTGACTCTATGCAACATTGTTTTACCTTTGAGTAATATTTCACGAAAATACTTTTACTAAAATGTTGTAGTAGTGTAGTGAAAACCTCACTGAACTCGGCGCTCACCCTTTTTTCATATTTTATCCCCGTACCCCACTCCCAGGTTTAGAACGGATCGATACAGATGAGTCCAAGGGAAGCAAGACTTTGTACAAGAGATAATGTTATTGATAGTTGTAATATGGGATGAGATAGGTTAAATAGTGAGGATGTTAAGCCGATATTTAATATTTGTATTAAAAGTAAATAAAAGTATTGCGCCTTGGGCGAGAGCCCAATGGATGGCTCAACTCGTAGTTAAACATGATGTATAATGACAGATAGGTGAGTTGGGTCGTTACACTCTTGGCATGCATTGGGCTGTGGACGATGGTGTTGTGCCTCCCCTTCAAAATTTGAGTTCGAATTTTCCCAAACCTGTGGGGAATGATGCGGATGAAGTGTGACCCTAAACACTAGGGTTTGAAGCAGCCGGAAATAAAGAAGTTGTCTATTTTATTTTAGTTTTAGTAGTATTTTATGGTTTGGACTTTTTAGTATTTTCATTAGTTGTTAAGGTTCCATTTCGGTTAGGGTTTTATTCTATCGTTAAAAGGGCACGGCCGACCCTCTCCTCATTGGAATTTTGTTGATTAATTAGAAAATGAGATTTCATCTCAAACAACTAGTTTTCCTGTTCCATTGTGTTGGTGGATCAATTAGTTTCGAATCGCGTTATTGTTCCATTTGTGTTAGTGATTCACAGTACGCCTCTATTTCGGTTGTTCCATTGGTGTTGGTGACCGATTTAGGGTTGTCCGATTGATTATAGGCTTCCGCCTACATCAGCTATCAAGGTTTATTTTTATGCATATACTAACTTATAATAGAGTCAAAATTTTGTGATAGATTAAGTAGCATCCATTGATGCGATAGGTCCTGGAGATCACCATATGTTGTTTTGATCCCCGTTAGGATTAAAAACATAACTAGAACACGGCTTAAGAAGTATGTGGTTTTGTTCTTTTCAACCTACATAAAGTAATCATCTCATAATTTAGAGTGTCGCATCGCGCTCAACATTTTTAATTCTGTCATTTGAACTTCCACACACAGTTTTCTTAGGAATCCAGCCGATCAGTTGCAGGCTTGTGTTCGCTATGGCTGGAAATAGTTGGTCTTGGTTCATATATACATGTTTTTCAGAAAAGAAAAAAGAACAATATAAAGAGAAAAGACGTACTTCAAACTGGAAATAGAGATATATACATAGAGTTCATATGATTCAAACCACACAGTAATTACAATAGGCGTACGTGCATACGTAGTAAACACCAAAACAACATACAAGGGAAACTAGATTATTATTACACACATGAAACCCTACAGTACTGGATCATCGTACGATCAGTTTGATCAGAATTCGATAACCAGTAGGGATTTTTTCCAATACATTTAGAGACTTAAAGTTCAGCCTCAATTTGCCATCCAAACAAGATCCCTCTGGGTGATCCAGTGACACGCTTCCGCATCTCCGGGAGAGGATTTCAAAACCTTAAACGCCACGTGTTCTGCCGGCCATCCGGAGGTATCCATGTGACATAGTGCCACTAACTTGTTTACCGGAGCTTTCGTGGCCGGATCGATGAGGTCGACGGAGTAGATTCGAGTGGAGGAGAGCTGATGACAAAAGTAAGTAGCAAAAGGAAAGAAAACTTCATGACATGATACAACTTTTTCAGCGCGGAATTGTTTTATGTTTTGAATCTTAACCTCTTGTTTCGACCCTTTTGTGCTTTGGCTAGTAAATGCAATTAATTTGCTCCCACCCAAACTCTTCTTAGAGAAATTTATCATATCCTCAAGTGAATTTGGACAGGATTTGATTTCACCCTTTATTCTTGGTGAGCTGCAGTAGTGAATGCTAGCTTCTATGGCTTCTTTTGTGTTAGCTGAAGTAAATGACTCCGGGAACAACTTTTGTAGATCAATAGAATTAGTAGTTGATATTTTTGAGGCAATTTGATTAGGAAGAAAAGCACGAAAAGGGGTTTGATCATTCAAATCTGGAAGATGAAATTTGTACCCTTTTTGGAGGATTGAGAGCCTAAAGAAAGAGTTTGGGACAGCTACTGCCGCATCCGAGGCTTGCGCGATGGCACTATATATCTTAAATCCACTAGGATTTAAGCTTTGGGGGGTCTGATTTGATGTTGTTGAGCAGACTAACTTAGCCTTGGAGCAGAATTTTGCATGATCAAAAGAGATGGTTTGTTTTGATGACACTAAGGAAGTGAAATAATTCGAGTCTTGTTTGGACAGCGGGGAAAGTTTTGAGGCAATGGTGTTTGGCATGGTATTCAGGACATTGTTGGACCAATATTGGATTTGATCAATGGAGGAAACAGAAGAGGATGGAACTGTGGAGAAAGCAACTGGAGTGAAAGCTAGGAAAAGAAGAAGATTCATGGAGAATTGGATCTTTGAAAGAGTAGCCATGTTTCTATATGAAGGGTTTGAATCGAGCTCAATTAGGATGTTGGATGAGAAATGACACTTCTGCTGCCTGATATTTATAGCTGAGCTGAACTTAGCAAGTATCCAATCACATAATATCAGTACAAAGTTGTTTTCGAATTTATTTTATGCCTATTGTAATTCATTTCGTCTCGTAATAGTAATACTTCGGGGTCTCGTTTCATACACATAAATGTGGATTGGTTCGTAACTTTCACTACTATAACAAAAATACTTGCGCGTAATATATAGTTTTTATGAATAATGATAGGAAACTCACCTAAATAATTCATTCTTATATCTCATCTTACGTAACTTGCCAACTTGTCTTGACATATCATAATTTTCTATTTCCTATAATATAAACATTAATGGAGGAGATTTAATAAATAAATTAATTACATCAAAATTAAAAAAGAAATATCAGAGTTACTAAGGGACAATCAAAATCACCTTTATTTCGGCGTCATGGGAACCAACGTCTCAAGGGAGTTCTGATTTTCGGCTTCAAATATTGAGTCGCGGTTGGAACAAGATGTAGTTAGTGAAATTCTCTTGATATTTATTTTATTTTGAATTTAGACTTTTGCATTTTTTATTGCAAAAAAAAAAAAATCACCTTTGTCGTTCTTTATCCGGTAACGTCCTCCTCCACAAGAACTCATCCACAAATTAATCAGAGCACTTATCATCGGCCTAATTCTTTTTGTGAAAGCGTCTTAGCTGATTGGACACCACCATATTCACATTCGATCGGAGACCATTCTATTCACGTTCCGATTCCGTATCTAAGGGATCTGTTAGTGAATGTAATTAGTAAATATATTTTTATTAATTAATTGTGGTAAATATAATTTATAACTCTTGTAACTTTTCTATATTTTGGGACTGCTTCTATGTTATACGGAGGAATGGAATTCTACCCAATGAGGGTTTTCTGAAATTCTATCAGAATCTTTAGAGGGGTTTTCTTTCTTTTTCTTTCCCCCTTTTTCAATGGTGAATCTGTAGAGTGAAAAAAAAAATTAAAAAATGTCAATAATAGCAGCTACACATGAACAAGAAATTATGGAATGGGAAGAAAAAGCCAGCATGGCTGAAAGGGTGATTTTTGGATGAGTTCTCATATGGAGGAAGACGGTACGGGAGAAAGAATGGACATAGTGATTGTCCGAAAGTAACTTTGATTTTCTTTTGTATTTTTTTAATTTTAATATAGGAGCAGTTAATTTATTTATGAAATCTCTTCCATTGATATTTATTTTGAAGAAAATAATTATGATGTCAAGACAATCTGGCAAGCCACACATAAGGTGAGAGATGAGAGGGTGAGTTATTTAATTTTTATAAATAAACATGAAAATTGGCCCAGCTGAAAATTCTGAAAACCCTTCATCATTAGTATATCTGGTATGACATATTTTTTCATTACTAGTATATTCTTAATTAATCAAAATATTACACTGCAACTCCAAATCTTCGGGATGACCACTTTTGGCTTCTTTTTATCTGGATGAATCATATGATGTTTATTATACTTCATAGAAGTACTCATCGATCTTTATTTCATTTACATGAAAAAAGTTGATCAAAATTGGTCCAACTAGGGAGAATTTTTATGAAAGAGATCTACTCTTGATTTCAACAAAACTTCAAACCAATTTGTAATGGATATACGATGGACAATGGACATGATGACCCACAATAGAAGTTCAGATAGAAATCAATAAAATAAAATTAAAAAATTTGTAATTTTTTTTTTTTTTTTACATCTGAAGCGGTAGACCTTGAATTATTTTCTCATGCAGTACTGTCCTCTGTCTTTGTACCAAAACGATTCAGTTGAAGTTTTCATTTTCACTATTAGTTGTGTTAAAAGTGATTGAATGATTATTTTGAGAGAAAAGTAAAATCATACCAAATCTATTTAATGATTGGATAGGCTCATGGAACTTAATCGTGGGTGAAATTGATGTTTGGTTTATTTGATCGAATTAATTAAATAGTTGTTCAATGAAGTACTAATTTTAAAAGATAAAAATTCAAAGTGAATAATCATTTCGAGTAAGAAGGAAATTAATTTCTTCCACCTGATTCAGCGTTGGACGCACCCCTTTAACTTGACATTATAGTTCATCAAGAACATTATTATCATTTCCCCCACTGGAGGCCCATCTAGACTGAATCAAAGCAATCAAATAACTAATAATGGCCTTTTACACTAAAGCAGTGGTTCACATACATTAGAGCGAATGATGTGATCTTACTTTTCCATCTTGTCGTTGAAATTATTAAACTTAAAATTTTTTTAACTCTTTTTCACGTGGTTTCTAAAATCCCTATCCACGATTATTAATTTTTGAATTTTGTTAGTCCCCAATTCCTTCTATCACAATCATCGTAAAATAAAATAAAATAAAGTTGTTTATATTAGTCGACAAAAATATACCGTGAGCGTACGGTAGAATGGGTTAGCATGCAAATTCTAGTATGTTAGACTGTTTTTTTCCAGAATGAGACTTGAAAAATATCTCAAACTTTAAAATAATTTTATCTTTTAACCCCTAATAATTTGCACAACGATCTCATATTATTTTGACTGCATTCGACGAGATTTGAATAGTCATTCTCAATAATATTAACGATTTTCTTGTTTATTTTAAGGATAGTTTTACTACAGATTTGAATGGTCATGTTGTTTTAGTTTTGATGATCTTTCTTTCTTCTTTTTTATGGTCTTCCATTTTTTTATTTTTTTGACTAAGGTCTTCCAATTCAGTTTCACGATCAAGGGCGGAACTACGTTTCCAACCCCATAACTGTTCAATTATATTGGTGACCGACTATAAATTAGTCTATATCCTTACGAGGCAGAAAAGGAAAAGCATTTTTAAGGAAGAATTTGAATTTTGGTGGGTTTTTTTTCCCCTTTCGAAATGCTACACCAAATGGTAGTTTCGGGCAGATGACTTCAATCTATTTAATTCTATGAATTGTCGTTTCTTCCACACTTTATATAGGAAAAAAAAGACTTTAAGCCCGTCTAAAATGAATAAAAATCCTTTCAAAAAAGAAGTGTAAAAACCCGTAGTGATCGATGATGCTAATCCTAAAATTAACACTAGGTTTGACGTAAGGGAACCAATTGTGCAAATATTTTAACTTAAATTTCAGACTCTTCTTTTCCGTCCAGAACTTCGGAATTTGATCATGGAATCCTTTTTCAACTTATGTTTTCTTCTACTTTTTTAATCATTTTCTTTGCTAGAACGTTATTTTTTAAAATCTTTAGGCGCATAAATAGCTTCCCACTGGAGGGGCTAATTGAAGGATGCCGTAAAAAATAAAAGAAAAAGAATTGGCCGGATGTGCTCAAGCCCTCCGAGAGGTCCGCCCCATGTTGATGATCATACAATTAAATTTTGATGGTCCTATTTTAGTTTAAATGGTTCTATAGTACTCTCTCTATCTCAAAAAAAAAAATCAAATCTCAAAACTCAATGTTAGACTATATTTTTGGGATAATAATTGCATCTTATATTATATAGCCTTCATATATTATTCATTTGATAATATCGTAAGTCCATAAATACTTCCATGGTCTTGCTATATCATTTCAATGGTCATGTACTATATTTGGTGATAGTCTTACTACATAATTTCAGCAATGCTCATGTCACATACTTTTCCTTTACTATCTTACCATATAACGTGGTTGAGTCTACTCTATAATTTGAATCATAAAATATTATTTTTTTTTTTTTAAATATGGAGAAGAGAAGCCATGACTTAGGCTTAGTTACAAAAAAAAAAAAAAATTGCTCTCAGGTGATGCTCAAAATATCTTGGGGTACGACAAAAAAATGATTCTTTTAGGCATCAAGAAACCTAGTTTAGCTAAGGATCAGTCACCATAATAGATTCCCTGTCAACATGTATTATCTCAAACTGTAGATTGCAGGCCAAAACCAGAGCTGAGAGAGGCGTGTCATTTAGTAGCTCCACAACTTTACTACTATCAATTTCAAGCTGCAGTTCAGTAAACAAAGGAAATAATTAAGAAAATGAAAATCAAAACCTGTGGTTTCCAAGGGATAAAGCGGACCCAAGAATATTGTTCTTAATCATAATGTCGAGTTGATAGACGTATTCAATTCTGTTGCAGGTTAACGAAAGCCATTGGCCCCCTTTATACTATACTCACTTTTCCTAAAAATTGAGGTTAAGAATTGTACTAAACACAATATAAATCATATAATGTGAATTATTTCTCAAAAACGGAACTGAGAATATTGTTCTTAATAATAATGTCACATGCATTTTCAAATTTTCACTAAAACTCATACAAATTATAAAATGTAATAGGGATTATTTTTTTGGACAATAACAACAATTCGTAATTAATAAATAAAGTCGAAAAGATGCCGTAATATAGTGAGTGCTTGATGCACTAGCCAAGGTGATGAGATATATGATTGTAAAATTGCCTAACTTTTGTTTCCAGAAAGCGAAATATTTCATTTAATTATAATTTCTTTTTAACAATTGCCTATCATTCGGAACAGTGTTCTCTTTAATTAAGACGGCATGATTACTGTTGTCCCTATGCTGATATGCAATGTTATGCATTTTCTTGTACTTATCTTAATTCTTAGCAAATTCTCAGCTACCTTTTACCTTCAAATGTGTACTTCCCATGTCGCTTATCACTATAGTACTAAATACGTTTTAGGATATTATTCGTTCAGTGTCTCTAACTATTGTTCCGATTCTTTCGAATTTAAACTGATCCAATTCTTTTTTTTCCATGACAACCAAGTTCTTGATAACGAGAAAAATTCTCCTAAAAAAATATTTTTTCTATCCAAAAAAATTAGTTCATATTGAATTTTGGAAACTTAATATCAAATTGTGAGCTATTTTTTTAGAGGGAGCATTTTGAACACTTCTCCATATTAATTTGTCATTTTGACTTCCAACACATCCAACCAAAACCGCTAGTCGAAAACCTACTTCTACCCAAATTAAGCTCAGAATCCGGCAGCTTTGGCTGAGGTAGTCCCATTCTAAGCGGTGGCACAGGCAGCTA